AGAGTCCTCTATTGAGTAACATCCTTTTGTGTGGTTTTCTTTTCTTTCTTTCTTTCTTTCTTTCTTTCTTTCCTTCCTTCCTTCCTTCCTTCCTTCCTTCCTTCCTTCCTTCCTTCCTTCCTTCCTTCCTTCCTTCCTTCCTTCCTTCCTTCCTTCCTTCCTTTCTTTCTTTCTTTCTTTCTTTCTTTCTTTCTTTCTTTCTTTCTTTCTTTCTTTCACTTTGTTTATCCACTATTAGCAAGCATGAACTCATCGAATAGGTACTTGCTTTTACAACTCAAAGGTTAATGACATCAGGCCATCTCCAAAACTCCTGCCTTTGGAAATGGGCAACTAAGAGGAGATTTTGAAGCAGGGCACTTCCTACCCTGTTCAGTACCGCTCTGCCTGGTTTCAGGAGTTGTAACTGCCCCCCATGGCTAAGGATGAGTGAGAGACCTCCAGAATTCGAGCCACAAGGAGACAAAGCTTGTCTCTGGTAGCGAATGCTGCCTCTGCTTCATCCTCTGCCCCCAATGCATGGTCGGATAGTCGGAGGTGGGTAAGACTCCTTAGAGGATAGGCAACCTAAGCCAGACACGATCACTTGGGAGGTCATCATGGAAGGACCCGGGGGGCTGCAACAAAGAGGGAGTGATGAACCCTCACCCCCCAGCTATTCTGACATAGCCTGAGTCCCCATTTCTGTCTGGGAGAAGCGCTTCCTGCCTCTAATCCACTTAAGCCTGAAAACCTGTGATGAGGGAGGCGGTGCAGCTCCTTGCCAGCTACAGTGGGATCTGGGTGATTGGGCATAAGAAAGAATTCCTAAAAGTCCTGTGGAGCCTGCTTTGCTAAGAGTGCTTTCATTCATATGTTAAGGGTCCAAGCAGGAAATGAGTATGTCTCCCAAAATTTCTGCAACTCCCTTTTCTGACAGACAGTGACTCAGACTAAGCCCTCAGATTTCTTTGAAATGTTATCCACTGTTTGATCCTTTCTGCCTGTATTCCTGTGTATTACAACCAAATAAAAGCTGTTGAGGAAGGGGCTCCAGGGCCTTTTTCCTCTGAGAGATTGGCCACCTCTCCTCCCCAAGCAGATCATGTCTTGGTAGTGTTACTTTCATCTGTGGCGGATTGGGGGACTTGAGGGCAAAGTCACCCCCACACTGCCCCAAACAGAACGCACGTGGGAAATGCCACCCTGGATCTCTCCGACCTTTTTCTAGGCTCCAACATCTCCAGTTCCTCTTCTGATTAAGTGAGTCTTTCTTGTCTATAGTTTCATCGAAGATTATTATATTTACTTTCTTGCTCTCCCAGTTTCTGGTGAGTTTATCAGATAATCGCAAAGAATCTCATTCTACTATATCATATATTTTACACATGCTTTACATATTTTTTGACAAAACTTCAGAGCTACATATATAGATATACCACATAACCTAATTAGCAAAGCCAGTCCTTTTTGACAAACCAATTTAATCTATCAGATTCCCTTTCCATCAGTTTCCAGTCAAAAGTAATCCCATAACATGCATCATGAAAACCATCTCATTTGTGAATTTTAACTCTAAAATAGACGTAAGCATCATATATGAGTACATAGACAAATTGATGTATGTTAAGACGAAAAAGAAACAAAGAAGGAAGGAAGGGAAAAGGAGGGAAGGGGAGGGAGGGGAGGGAGGAAGAAGTGGATGGAAGGAATCATAAAAAGCTATGCTTTCTCTTGAGTTTGTTTTCTGAATAAAATAAAATGCAGTCACCTAGAGTATTTTCTACAGGATCTCTCCTCGTTGTCCAAGAAACTCTCCCTTAGCAGCTGTGAATTCTTGACTTGGTTCCTTTGGTTGACTTTAGCCCTAGAGTCAACTCAGTCTAGAAAGTCACATTCTGTCATTTTCACATCTTACTGCTTACACCTCATTCATTGTGCAAGGGGATCACACAGGGCATAAATATATCTTCAAGGTTGACTGCCACACACACATAAGGATTGTTCAATAAATGTTTTGAACTAATAAATTGTGTTTTAATTTTATAATTTAACTTTTATTTATAATTTAGCCATCTTACTATTTAAGTGTTTGGGAAAAGAATCTCTCACCTGCCCATCCTCACCTGCAACAGTCTACAAGGTCTATTTTACTTCATTTTTCAAATAGGATGTGAAAAACAGCAATCCAGGAATAATATGGTGATAATATTTTTGTACACTTTGACTCACTTATATAAGGACAGGCGAGCAAAATATCTGAAATCAGCAGCATTTCAGGATATGAAACATCCTGGGCAGCTCTACACATCTGGTAACTCCGCTAATCTAAATATTCCCTTCACTTCATCTGTATAGGACTTCCTAGTTTGAAAATCATGTTCACACATATGATCTCACTTGAACTTATCACAGCTCTGACAACAAGACAGGGTACATTTTATTCCAACCTTGCAGATAAAAACAACTGACCAGGCCCTGATTTAGGTAAGAAGCAGAGCCAGGAGTTAAAGTGTGGTGTTCTAACTCCTCGTCCAATAAGGAAACAAACTATTAGAAACGACCTCTAGGAGGAACTGCGTAGGACAGCCTAGGTCATCCTGAAGAAAGCATCCCCAACATCTCAATGTCTTAAAGCAACAGATGTTTGTGTCCTGCTCATATAACTCCAATGCAAGTGGACTGACTTTCCAAGGCAACTGTCCTCCACACAGCAATCTAGTGATGGACCCTTTTTTATAGCTTCCCCACGGTCTCTTTGTTTGCTGCATAGGGATGGTTTTACAATGAAAGTCAAATGCTTCGGCCTTGAAAGAACTTGCATCTTTTTCCCTCGTAGCCTGTGGGTCAGAACTAGTCCTGTGACACTGCCCAACTGCAAGGAGACAGGGAAGTGAAAGCTTCCTGTGTGCCTAAGGTATAGATGAGCAGGAAAACTCTCCTTCATATATAAAAGGGTGAAGAATAAATAGGATTTGTGGGAGCAGAAGGAGGCCCCTGTGTAGGTAACACAGAATACCTAATGTTTGGGAAAGCCCAGTACCAGGTTCTCTCACATACATTTTAATGAGCTGATCCTGACAATAGCCTGGAAGGTAAATATTATCCCCGTGTTCATGGTTTAGGAAGCTAAAGCTCATGAAGGTTAGTTACATAACTTGCTCCAGAGTTTACACTAATAAGAGGAGGGAGGTCTAAGTCCCTTGCTCTTCCTTTTCTCCATCTTTCAATTTCCTATAATGATTGCTCTGTCATCTGCTAAGTGATTTATTGTTATAAGGTAGGTGGGGAGCTGGGGAAGAATAGGAGTACACGGGGGCTGGCGATTCTCCTGGCAATGTTTTATTTCTGGAGCTGGATAGTGGGCACAAAAATGTGTGTGTATAATTCTTTTTATGTCCGAAATATTTCAAAGTATGCTTTTACTTTTATTCTTTTTTGTCCTCACGTAAGGACATTTTCATTTGGAAGGAGAGAGAGAGAGAATGGGACAGAGGAAGGAAGGAAGAGAAACATCCACGCAAGTAAAGCATCAGTCACTTGTCTCCACAGACACCCAGACCAGGGATCCATGCCAGGACCAGGATGGTATGCGTCAGAACCAGGGGTTGCACACGCCGGCACCATGACCAGAGATAAACCTGCAACCTAGGCATGTGCCCTGACTGGGAATCGCCTGCAACCTTTCTGTTATGGGACCACACTGCAACAACTGACCACATTGGCCAGAGCTCAAAATATGTTTTTAAAAAGAGGGGGAGGGCAGAGGGTGTCTGAGAATCGGTGACAGGTTCTTACCTTGAGAACATAAGCATTTTTTGTGAATATTGGCAGCCAGAAAGCAGGAAATACAGTGTTGTTATCCTTATTGAGAACACACTTTATCCTAGATCAGAGATTTTCAACCTTTTTCATCTCATGGCACACTTACACTGATTACTAAAATTCTGCGGCACACCAAAAATACGTTATATTTTTGCCAATCTGAGAAAAATAGGTATAATTTTGATATATTCACACTGGATGGCTATTGATGCATCAGCTGTTGTCATTTTTTTTATTTGACAATCTAAAGGAAAAAAGGTCAGTGCCCCTGACTAAATAGTGACGTATTGAGGGTTTTTTAAAAGTTCTGGCAGCACACTGGTTGACAATTGCTGTGCTTATTAAATAATGTATTTACATCACCAGTTAATCTCACCTTTCCAACAACCCAAAGAGGTCAATTCTATTATTATCCCCATTGTAAGATGAGATGGAAAAAATTGAAGGAAGGTGGATTAAGTAAATTATCTGAAGTCACAATTTATAAAGCAGAAAAAACTAGATTTAAAGGGGGCACTCTGGTTTCAGGGTATGTACACAGTACACCTGTAATACCTTCCCAAGAGGTGAAAGATGAGTCAAATTTGCAGAGGTGGGTAGAAATCTTCCATGCATCTCCTGCAAAGTGCCTTTAACATTCCTAGGAGGTTCGTATCCAGTTAAACGGGGAAAATTCAAAATAGCTTTCCCGTGTCATTGGATAGAAAAAAATGGGTGGTGTAGTTGATAGCAGTCTCAGGGGGGAAAAATGTTTAACATATGGGCTAGACTCGCTCAGACTGGTTGAAGCGGATGGACCAGGTGATAATACTGGGTTCTGCCTACCATGGAAACTTTCCTGGCAAGGAAGGTGCAGTCCAGGAGTGATATAAGAATCCCCGAAGGTCAAGTGATCTAGCCCAGGTGGGGGTTTCTCCTGATTGGATACAGGAAGCTATAAAAACACAGTTTTGACTACTGCTGTTGTTGTGGCTGCTCACTAGGTCGCTCACACTTACTCGGGACGAGTTTCAACGTGGTAGTTCTCCTTTGGGAGAGAAACCCAGCGTGAGTGCTCTGGTTTGACAGCTGGATTTGCGCTGCGCCTGCGCCGCAGCCCGCGCACCTGTGGAGGACCGCCGCCTGGGGGCGCAGAGGCCCAGCTCGGCCTCTCCAGCTACACCCCGGCCCTTACCCCGCCCCCGACTCCCCCGGGCTGGCAGAGAAGGCGGAAGTAGGGCGTCCGGGGCTGGGGTTCGGGCTCCGGACTCCGGGCGGCCCCGGGACGCGGTAGCGGCGGCTTTCGGGCGGGGAGTTTGGCATCGGGCCGCCTCGGCTCGGAGCGCGGTGCCCGTCCTCTTCTGGTGCTTTGGCTGAGCGGAGTCGAGCGGTCGCGTGGAATCGGCGGCCCAGCGGACTAGAGCGGTGAGTCCCCTTCGGATGTCTCCCCCGGAGCGGCCGCGGCCTCCGTTCCCGCAGGTGCGGACGCCGCCCCCTCTCCTCTCTTTTCCTCCGTGTTGGGGACCTGTCCCCGGGGCCTCTCCGATTCCTGAAGGTTGGGGACACCGCCCCCTCCCCTCTCGTTTCCCACGGGTCGGGGGCGTCGCCCCCTGCGCCTTCGCTTCCCGGAGGTTGGGGGCGCCCCTCCCTCTGTCCTGTCCGGTTGGGGAGGTCGCCCGCTGTCCCAGTTCTGCCCAGAGGTTGGGGACGCTGCCCCCGTCCTCTCGCCTCCCTCGCGTTGGGGACGTCGCTCCTGTCTCTTCGCCTCCCACGGGCTGTGGACGCCTCCCCTCCCCTCTGCGCCCCCAAGCCCGCGGCGACCTCCTCCCTCTAACACCTTTCCCTGGTGGGAATCCCGCGCGCACCCCGTCGGCCCGCAGATTCCCCTTCCCAGAAAAGGAAATTGCCTCCTGGATTTTCCCGTCCCTCCGAGCTGATACCAGCTTTTAAAAAAAAAAAAAAAAAAAAAAATCCCTCTAAGTTCTCACCGGCTTCCTCTGTCACTGTCATGGGAAAGCTATTTTTGGGTTCCTCCTTCAATCGTTAGAGGTCCCAGGCAGCAGGTTAAAAAAAAAGGCTCAGATGACACGAATCTTTCCTCCCCCGCCCCTGCACTCGTCGTTCTAGCGATTGTTCCAGACGCTGGGTTGATAAAGCTGTTCCTAGTATTTGGCTTTAGCGGAACTCGAGCTGAGAGGTAGGACTGTCATGAATGTGAACAGAAAGCACCTAAAGTATTGTATCAGCAGCTTGCATGTAAAGTGTTTGCATGCTGCTTCTGTTTCTCGGCAGAACAAATTACTAAATATGTAGGTACACGGGGACAGAAAAACGTTAAGAAAGTGTGAGTGTTGGCGTTTTATCCATTCCCTGGTGATTAGGTTACTAAGGAGCTTAAAAGGGGCTTTTCTGACTTCGAGGCTGCGGGTGGGATGAGGACAGCGGGGCCTCTGGAAGTCAAGGAAGGGATGTATTTCAGGCACTTCTTGCCTGCGTGATAATGAGTGTCACCCTGCAAGCGCTGTATGCTTCACTGTATTGCAGCATTGTACCTCAAGGTCTTTTCTGGCATAAATTTGAATTTTTGATGCTGATACATTTTTGTCCACTTGGATTTTGAAAGAAGTTATTCAAATCTTTGCCTCCTGGGAGAAACAAATAGTACCTAGGAAGGGGACTGCCCCTTGAATCTATTCAAAATTAAGGCATAACAATTGACTATTTTTGCAGTATTGCATTTGCAAGTCTCTGCATTTTAAAAATAGATTTTAAGGAGTTAGTAAATAGTTCCCATTTCTGAACCTAGCAGAACATTAAAGGTAATTTCTTGTTCTTGAAAAAAATGTAATTAAATTTATTGGAGTGGCAATAGGTAATAAGATTATATAGGTTTCAAGTGTACATTTGTATGATACATAATCTGTTTGTTTTATGTGGTTTTACTTACGAGTTGCACGTTTAGCTGTGAATGACTTTCCATTGGCTTAAAATTGACCAATTCAATATATAACTTGTTGATTTCTTTAGCTTAGACACTTCTCTCATTAACACCTGTGGTTCTTAGGGAGACAAACTTTTGTATGATTCCCTACTCACCCTCCTGCTAGACTTTTAACAGAATACCTTTTGCGTTATAATACAGGGTCCAGCACAAATAATGCCACTTTTCATTACAAAATATTTTACTACAAAATCATGAGCATGTAATTCTGTAACAACAACATCACACTCGAGCACACCGTATGCCATTTTAGGTGAAATGTTTAAATTAAAACTATAAATTATTACACCCATATCACTACCCTACCAACCGCACTCAAGCAGGTGTTACTTCTGCTGGACCCTATATATTCCCAGATACAAATAGGTGGATTTAAGCTGTGATTTATGACAAGGCTGTTTTCAACATTCATTCTTTTTGCAATCAAATTAAGTTAGCAATAGCTACATCTCAAAATATTTAACTAAGGCAGGTGCGTGTTATACTAGATTCACAACTGCAAAAAGGGAATTGCAGTCGCGAAGCTCTCAGCCTGCAAGGGAAGGAATGATGTAAACTTCATACCATCCCTTCTATAGATTCCCGGAGAAACCACATACATTCTGAATGGTAAGAGTAAGAAAGAGGCTATAAGAAATCTTATCTAGGAAAGAACATATATTCATTCTTACTTATTTTACCTTCGTTAACCTAAAAAGTAAAAAGTCAAAATGAGAGACAGTATAAGCATTTATTTGGGATTCTGCAGGATTGCAATTTGGGGAGCAGAAGCCCAAAAGGGCCCCCCAGCACAGAAGAGAAGCACAAGCATCTTGAGGGGAAAAGGGGGAGAGCAAAGTAAGTTACATTACAGAAGAGTCCACTGGTGCCAGACAAGGTAAGGTTAGATTGGTACTGCGTAGATTGGCCTGATGCTCGGTCATCGGGCCAAAGACTAGATTTGTACTTCATTGGTTGGTCATGGATTCAGTCATCGGCAAAGTCCATTTTCATCAGTCCTTACAAACAGGATATGCTTCTTCTAACTGACTTAGAGGGCTGGTGGTTTGGTCCAGTTTGGAAGATAAAGAAACATAAGGCACGCAGGACAGTTCCTCTGGAATGACTACTCAGGCTGTTGTAATATGGCTCCACCTGGGTCATCCATCCTTCACAGCTTAGGTAAAAACCTGCTTTTGTAGCCTCTCATGAAGTGGCTACCTATGGCACCATCTGAAGTTAAGAAGAATCCTTAATAGCCCTGACCAGTGTGGCTTAGTTGGTTGTGTGTTGAAACTGAAAGGTCTGCTGGTTTGATTCCCAGTCAGACCACATGACTGGGCTGTGGGTTCAGTCCCTGGTAGGGGTGCACACAGGAGGCAACTGATCGATGTTTTTCTCTCACATCGATGTTTCTCTCCCTTTTTCCCTCCCTTCCCCTGTCTCTAAAAAGGGAGGGAGGGAGGGAGGGAAATGTGAAAAATTGAAGACCTAGATTTTTAAGAGCACACACTTTCATGTTCTACACTGCATTCCTACACTGAAATTCTTTTTAAGGAATTGTGACTGATTGCACAGGTTTTCCTAGTAACACATTTGCCATAAGAGGTCTCTAAGTCTAACAGCCTTCATCTCTTTGGAACCAGGCTGCAAGAGGGCAGTGTGTAGACTACCCAGTAAACCGAACCGTAGAACTGTAGCTGCACAGTGGGGCGGGAAAGGAGACTTAGCTCGGCAGCTCGCGTCTGTCTTCTGACTGGTGCTTGGATATGTTCTGTACAACTAAGTAACAAATACCAAGTTCTCGAAGTGATTATTTTTTTTAACGATAAATGGTTAAAGACCCAAAAGATAAATATACCTAGAATCATTGAGGATGTATAAAATGGTCTCTCTCAAGCGTTTGGGAGTGGGAGTTAAAAAGCCTTCAATACATATTGGATATTGGAACCATAGAAATGGAGATCACAAGGAGAGTTAGCAACAGGGGAGTGGGAGAAGGAGAAGGGGGGAGAAGGTACAGAGAATAAGTAGCATAGACGATAGGCAGAAAATAGATAGGGGGAGGGCAAGAATAGTATGGGAAATATAGAATCTAAAGAACTTGTGACACATGGACATAAACGAAAGGGGAAGATGGTGGGGGAGGGGTGTGCAGGGTGGAGGGGAATGAAGGGGGGAAATGGGACAACTGTAATGGCATAAACAATAAAATATAATTTGTAAAAAACAAGCATTGTCTGTTAAAATCCTGGGAAAGTTGCATCCGCTTTCACCTAGTAACTCTGCTTCTAGGAGATGAGATTTACCTAAGGAAGTATTGGGCACAGAAATGTGTAAGGGAAGAAAAAGAACAAAGGACATGAACCCTAGGACAGTGTGACAGTGTCCCATGTCCTCAGATTTGGAGGGTATAACGGGGTCCCCCCCCCCAGAGCACAGGTAGAACGACTAGTTCGGTTTGCCGCCATCCTGCCAACCCTTCCTTCCTCTCAGTCTGGCCCCAGGTCTTCCCGAGGAACTTGCATTGGCTTTAACAGGGCTTTGGGGGCTGTTTGTAACTTTTCAAAAGTAGGATGTCAAAAACAAAACAAAATGTCGGTTTTTCTCTACTGCATCTTTGAAATCCTGTCAGCTAGTATAATAGCGCTTGGGTAGGTCATGTTTAGGAAGAAGCTGTGGGCGGCACGTTCGTCTAACGCAGTGATTTTCCACCAGTGAGCCCCAGGAATCTTGAAAACATGCACCCTGGCCGGGTGGCTCAGTTGGTCGGAGTGTCATCCCAAACACCAAAACCTTGCGGGTTCAATTCCCGGTCAGGGTGCACACCTAGGTTGAGGGTTCAGTCCCTGGACAGGGTGCGTACGGAAGGCAACCAATCGATGTGTCTAACATCCATGTCTGTCTGTCTGTCTGTCTGTCTCCCCATCCCTCCCTCCCACCCTCCCTCTCTTTCTCTGTCTCCCCTTCATCTCTCTGAAATCAATAGACATACCCTCGGATGAAGATTTAAAAAAACAAACAAACATGTACTATCTGACCATTCATTTGGGCACTGAGCTCTTTTCCCTCAGGTTGTCAAATTTTTAAAAAATGATGACAGCCATCCAGTGTGAATAAACCAAAATTATACCTATTTTTTTTTGTTAAATTGGCAAAAATTATAACACTTTTTGTTGTGCCACAGAATTTGTGTAATTAGTGTATGTGTGCCATGAGATGAAAAAGGTTGAAAATCCCTGGTCCAGTGTTACATAAAGGGAAGGAAATTTTAAAAGCAGCTTTATGGACAAGTTTGTCAAAACACAGACAGACGAACGTGGTGTAGTCCAAGGGGCACAGGCTCTGGGGCCGGGCAGACTTGGGTCCTGAGTCCCGCCGTCGCCAGCTCCGGCGGGTGGGTTACTTGGCCTTTCCTCAGTTCCTTACTGTCCATTTTGACGAGAGGGAGGCAGCAGTGAGACTGTGACATAACATCACCGTGTGGAGCCGCAGTGACAGTGACGCGTCCCCCGACACGGTTCTGAGTGCCTTCACACAGCAGCGGGTTCGGTCCTCTCCGGAGTGTACCGACTGGCCGCACGGCTGCTGCAGCCAGAACAGGCCCATCGTCTTTGGTGCCCATCACATGGTGCTCGGAAGTCTTCTCGAGAAGGAAAAAAAAGGTATCTATAGAGATTTGCAAAAAGATAGAGGATTACTCTCTAGGGGGATGGCGGTCTACCACAGTGACTGCAAGCTTACATTCTGTTTCTAGAACTAGTTATATCGGGCACATATTAGGAATTTCCCATAGGTCTAACTGTCTACGACAGAGACCCGATGACATAGGCTGCGAATTGCTTTTAGACATTAGTTTATCAAAAATGTCGTATGACCTAGAATTTGAAGGCATCCCACCTACCCATGAAAGCAGTAGCTTTCCATAGGCAAACAAAACCTCACTTCTTTTTCCTGTCACATAATGAAACAGGGTCATTTGACATGACTGAAAGCAGAAGGACATACAAATATACTTCTTCAATTGTATTCATTCTACGTAACAGGAGTCTCCGAACATTTGGAAGTACTCACTGCTTTTAGGTCTCGAAAAAGAAACCAAGGTGCAAAAGGCCAGGTTGCCCCGAACCACACACCTCCCGGCTGAGTGTGATCATCTAGTCCCTTGTGTGTTGTTGCTCTTCTTGCACCGCCTGCTGGTCCTCCTGTTCTCTCAAGCTCAAAGTACTTGAAGGGACTTCAGCAGCATAAGTAAGGTCTTCAGCAGAAGTTTAATAAACACCCATTATGTGAAAGATCTTGTGCTGAGTACCGAGGATATGAAAAAGAAATTCTTGACCTCAGTCACAGGAAACAGACACTGAGACAGATAGTTGTGATGTAGCGAAGATTACAATTGAGCTGATTTCTTCTTTTAACTTTTTATTCTATCTACCTATTTGAATTCCTTTACTTATTGTAAAATAGTAGTCATGAAGTAAAGCTCAAAAAGCTTTGAAAGTTTTCCATAAATAGTATTAGCGCAGCTTATGTACATAAACTAAAAGGTGACCTGCACGGATAAGCTGTGATGTATGTGTGTGTGCGCACATGTACGTGTGTGTTAAGGCATTTTTTCCTTGCTGTTTCTACAGAATAGATAACCCCGTTACTATGAGTCTGTTAAACTGTGAAGACAGCTGTGTGTCCAGCCAGTCTGAGAGCGACTGCTGCGCGGCCATGGCCGGCGCCTGCGGTGCCGCAGCCAAAGACGACAGCGTGAGTGGGACCGCCAGCACAGGGACTCTGTCCAGCTCATTCATGGAAGAGATCCAGGGCTACGACGTGGAGTTTGACCCGCCCCTGGAAAGCAAATACGAGTGCCCCATCTGCCTGATGGCGTTACGGGAAGCAGTGCAAACACCCTGCGGCCACAGGTTCTGCAAAGCCTGCATCACCAAATCAATAAGGTACGTGATAGAGGAGAGAACTGTGTCCTGTCACAGAGTCGAGTGCAGAGAACAGTGCACACAGAACACGGGACAACCGAAGTGAGTAGTCTTACATGTGAAAAGCTGCTCAGGGGAAAAGAACACTGGACAGAAACTTGAGACGTCGACGTGCTTACCCTAGTTTCTACTGTGGTGTGAAGTAATTTCTATCTCCTGCCCTTCTCTAGCCCTGAGATACATAAATGAGAAGTAGATACGCTCTCTATGCTTTAAGAAAATAATATAAATCTGCCTTAAATGATAGTAAAGTGTGGTCATCTCAACCAAAGAGTGCTGACTTAATTGATCAGTTATTACGATTTCAACCACATGAAAATCTGTCTGTTACCCGATATCTATGGACAACTGTAAAATAACCGTATTTTTTTAAAGTGTTAATCAATGCCTCTGCCTTTATATTTATCCAAAATGCAGTCCCTTCTCACTACCTTCACTGCTTCTATCCTGGTCTGAATCACCACCAGCTCTGTCACAGGCCTCCCTGGTTTTACCCTTGCCTTCTTCCAGAATGTTCTCAATATAGCAGCCCTAGAGAAGCTGGTTAAATAAGCAAGGCGATGTTGTCTCGGCTCAGAACATTGCAGCAGGTCATGTAGGAGGAAAAGCCAGAGTGCCCATCAGGCCCCTGGGACAGGTCCATAATCCGGTTTCCGACCTCCCTCCCGTCTCCTGTGCTCTTCTGCCTCCCGCCAGTTCCCTCTCTGCCGCTCCTGCTGTAGCCGAGCATGCTCCTGCCCTGGGGGCTGGCGTTAGTTGTTCTCTCTGGAACACCCTGACTTCGGGTAACTGCCCAGCTGACACCTTCTACTCCCTCCATTGTGGCTCAGATCTCACCTCTCGTAGGAGCTCCGGCTACTCTCTTTATACCAGAGCATGCCTTCCCCTGTCTCCACACTCCCAGGCTGTCTTACCTAAGTGGAAAATAAGCTCCTTGAGAGCAGGGGTGGAGATCTGGGAATTTCCTGTCTGCCGACACATAGTAAGTGCTCAGTGAATCATGGTTGCTGTTAACTGAGTGGAGGTGTGCGGGATTTCCACAAATGATTCAAGTTCATCTCCCAAGAAATGAAGACATTTTACTATAATTCAGAACTATTAGATGGGACTATTTTAGGTGACTAAGGAATTTTGTACAGAACAAAAAACATTGGAAGAAGTGGGAGAATTTCATGTTCTTCGATAAATAAGCATCTAGTTTATACTGCTGAAATCATTTGTAAGTAGGTTAAGCTGGCTACTCACTGTCAGCTTTTAAACTGACTTCCTTTCCTGTGTCCTTGTCTGGTTTTGGCGTCAGGGTAATGCAAGTCATAAAATGAGTTTGGAAGTATTCCTTCCTCTTCCACTTTTTGAAAGAGTTTAGGAAGGATGGCCATTAATTCTTCTTTAAATGCTTGGTGGAATTCACCAGTGAAGCCATCTGCTCATGCACTTTTTCACGTTGGAAGGTTTTTGATTACTGATTACTCTCCTTACTAGTAACCACTAATGTTCAGATTTTCTGGTTCTTTATGATTCAGTCTTAGTAAGTTCTATGTACCATATTATGGATCATTGGTTTTTTTTATAGAGATGTGCAGTATTTTACCAAGTATCATCATGCCCAGGAATGTGGCTCATCTTTAGCAGTTTTTTAATAGCAAGGTGTTCATGAAAGTAATGGACAGTGGTCTGAAAAGGAAGTAAAACCCACAAAAGGAAGTCTGAGGCTTTTTTTTTTTCTCTCTCCCTCTCAGCTGGAAGTAACCACTGCTGTGACTCTAATGTTCTTGAAGGAATGGCTTAGAAATTTCTCACCCACATAGTCCTGCGTGAAATCAAAGCACACGTTAATCTACTTCCGTTTGCTCTGGATAATGGTTTCCAGTTTGCTTTATAAGTTTCTTTTCTCTAAGTGACATCTGTCACTTAGGTTTGGGGTGCATATTTCAATAAATCTGTCCGTAGTTTTCCATGCTTCTTATAAAATATTTGGTAGTACTGACCACATCGGCCTGAGAGAAGCCCCATTCAAGACTGGCTGTGCCTCTCCCCTCTGCTGGTTCTAAGGCATTTGCCCGCAGACCCCATCTCCAGCACCTTTTTGCCTCCCGCAGCAAGGGGGCTGACTGCCACGGCTGGCTCCCACGCAGGGGTGCTCAGCTGACGTCCGAGTGACTGATCGGGGCTTCTGTAGCCAACCTGACCTGCCATGTTTTGAGAGTGAAGATTGAGACATTTCAAAAAGTTAAAGGGAAGTGAACAGACATCCAAACTTCCCGAGGATGGTTTTTCTCGTCATAAGATGAAAAGCCAAGCCACTGGGAGAGCAGGAAATAGAGGTTAACCCCTGCAAAATCGTACCCTCCTCATAAAAATGAAGGGAAACTTGTTGTTCATGAGGCAGAATGTTGTAATGACTGTTCAGAGTAAACCTTACAGTGTGGGCTGGTCGGGTACTGCTTGCTGGCTGGGTGAATTTCTGCTCATGCGTGTGGAGCACACTGCATGTATGGGCAGCATGTGTAGTTCCTCTCACTAGCATGTTGTGCAGCCCGTGCTCACTCCCCAACTTTTACTTCATTTTATGACAATCAAAATTTGACCTTATGCAGTTAATTTTTCTCATTTTTTGGTTGAGATCTGTCCCGCATTCTAAAATCCCATCATTTCTTCTAGGTAACCAGTGTGGTACCAGTTGTATTCATTGTATGAAAGAACAGCTCGTGAACTGCCCACAAAAGGACGGGATTCTCCTCCCCCCCCCCCGCCCAGAATATTATGCAATACAATGTGTTAAGTTATTTTCCATACGAAATAACAAATGGAGAATTTATACACAGTGAATTAAAGTTGTTTAAACTTTTTAATGTCAATACTCGTTTAAGTCCACTAAATGTATGTGCCTTACTTGTTTCTCTTAGGGATGCAGGTCACAAATGTCCAGTTGATAATGAAATACTCCTGGAAACTCAACTGTTCCCTGACAATTTTGCAAAACGGGAGATTCTTTCTCTGACGGTGAAGTGTCCAAATGAAGGTTGTTTGCACAAGATGGAACTGAGACATCTCGAGGTATGAAAGTCATTTTCAGGCCATTAGCATATAGATGAGGCAGTTCCTAGAGAACCCAGACTTTGCTGTGTCCGTCCGTGTACTGCCTGCCAGGTAACAGCCCTTTCATTACTCGGTAGATGTATAAGCAGAAACCATCAACTTCTTATTTCAGCTACTCTGGCTTTGCCAAATGATGATAAAGAAATCAGTATTCTTCAAATTTGGGAGGGGGAGACATTATTTTGCTATAAAATTTAAAAGCATTTTAAATGTAGGTGTCACGTATGAATCCCATAAGTTCATTTCTCTTGTTTGGAGAAAAACAGCAAGGGCCGCGTAGCCACTATCTTACCACCCTCGTTGTGTGGTTTCCTCTTTTCCTAAATGGCGCCTTTCATTATAAACTAAGTGAAGTCCTTCTAACACCTGAGATTAACTGAAGCAGTCAGGTAAAAGGATTTCCTTTTAAATTAAATGAATTTGTCTTTAGCTTTGTGGCTTTATGAGAAATTAAATACTGTTTATGATGTGTTCAAAAATGTTTAAAACATATTTGCAAATTGCCCGACTTACTAAGTTCCTTGTGAAGGAGTGGCTGTTCGGGAGAGAACAGTGTAGACTCAGAACAGATTATGTTTAGGAGATGCCTTAAAGATTGGCAGACACTAATTGATTATTTTTTCTTTATTATAGGATCATCAAGCACATTGTGAGTTTGCTCTTATGAATTGTCCCCAATGCCACCGTCCCTTCCAAAAGTGCCACCTTAATGTTCACATTCTCAAGGAGTGTCCAAGGAGACAGGTTTCTTGTATAAACTGTGCTGTGTCGATGGCATTTGAAGATAAAGAGGCATGTACCAACTTGGATTTGTTCATTTCACTACCTCTTAAATTTTGTTTTTACTGATTTCAGAGAGAGAAGAAGGAGGGGACAGAGAGAGAGATCAATTTGTTGTTCCACTTAATTTACGCTTTCATTGGTTGGCAATGTGCCCCGACTGGGGATTGATCCCACAACTTTGACGTATCAGGACAGCGCTCTAACCAACTTAGCTACCTGGCCAGGGCCTTAAATTATTTTTTGCAAGTACATTTGAGGGGTGTTGCCGTAGATGAGGATGTTACTCCAATTCTGAGCCTATATTATCAGTTTTGGGACAATTGATTTTTAAGAAACAAAGTTCGTTAAACTATTTTAGTAAATAAGTGTAAGGTTTATATTTGTCTATCTTTCTTAGAAAACACTGTTTATACTACTTAACACTGTAGTGGCTCTGCAGATAAGCAAACCTCCCAGGAAAGACATGTGCTGATCTACCTTCCTATGTGATACTGTAATGGCCAGTCTCGGATCAGAGACAAACAAGCAGAATGATTACTGTATCAGACATATGCTCTACTCTTTGAAAAAGAGACAGGGTCGTTAAAACTTTCATGGAGAACAGATTAAATCCCATAGCGTGTGGGTTTTTGGTGCTAATTCACTGAGCTTTATACATATAATTCACTTTTCTGTAAGTATGTTACACGTCAATTAGAACGTTTACCTTTAAAAGGACACTTCATAGCACTGGACAACATTGTGCTGACAGAGCGGTGCTTTCACTCAGAAACTGAGATGTGAACAAGTTCATGACTTTATGTATTGTGTCAATATAAGTAATTGTATATTAATGTTGTAATGGGAAAGCCAGCCCTGAGATCCTAGCCAGATACCCACTCTGTGTCCTCTTCGCGAAGACAACCTGCATATAACTTCTATTCTTTTAGAGCCATTAAGATACTTGCTTAAATTTTATTTCTTATCAGTTTATTTGGTAATTTTTTTCTCCTTAAGAAATCAAGCATATTATACTCATGAAGCTGATGAAATACTTAAAACAAGTCAACTAACTTGCTACAAATGGGGAGAAATCTGAGACACAATTAGAACAAATCAGTGTCTTCCTGAACTTAAGTAAATGGACTGAACCTGAAGGGTTCATTAATTCTTAAATTCATCGTATTTTAGAAAACAAGGCTTACCCTTCCGGGCCCATGAGACCCTAGGCACCAGAGCCCCCTGTCCTAATACTGCTTCTGTTCTGTAACCTTCCTGCTGGGAGTTTCCTTTCAGTCACCATGGTGTTGCTGGGAATTTTGGGAGGAATGCCTTTGGAGAGTGATTGTGTTGGTAAATAATGTCCTGAACTAGTCACAAGTGCTCTGCCTCAGGTTAAAAGAAGTGACTTAGAAGATTTTTTTACGTATTGCTATATTCTTTTAAAGAGCTGAAACGCAGGATGCCTCTGATTACTGTATTGGCAAAGGGAGAGAAAATATCTTTTATATCTTATTCTCACTTTTCTTTTACACACACTGATGTCCTCAATTTGTTTATAGTGAAAAACTGACTTTTATGAAAATAGATTGTTTTTACTTTTTCAGATTTTCTCATGTTTTTCTTTCATTTCCCTAATAAAATTCAGAGCCATGACCAGAACTGTCCTTTGGCCAATGTCGTCTGTGAATACTGCAGTACCATGCTCATCAGAGAACAGGTATAACGATTCTCTTTCATAAACTAGTATTTCCATTAGTAGGTTAAAGAAGTGAGTGAGTTTTCTAATTAAATCGATAAGGCAGAAGGAATACAAGTTGAAGAAGTGTTAGAACTATGTGCAATGTATCATATAAATTAATATGCTATATACTTTCAGAAAGAACAAAATACTTAGACCTCTCTAAGGACTTAAAGTCATTAACTTAATACCCATATTTATGTATAGTTATAAGATTTCTAGACAAAACCAGGTAATTTTAAGATACAAGTAATCAAAAATCCCCAGTTAAAGAGAAGAACACCTTAAGAAGTACATATTTACATGTTGTGAAATAAGGATCTTGGGTGTCCAGACACTAGCTGAAGGGACAGTGAGCAGGACTGTCTGCTCGGCGGCAGAGCCGCGTTGTCCCCGCGGCCCTGAGACACGCGGAGTGGAGCCGTCCAGGACCAGGAGCCGCAGCCCTCCATCCAGCGGTCCCGTGGGTGGGCCACGGAGAGGCAGCAGCAAGTATACTAGAAAACTACATTCACGTTATTATTAGAGATTGGAAAACGGTTTGGTCGCTCTCTTCTGACATTTGGGGGATTTACCCACAGGATTTGAATATTAGTCACTATATATAACCCATGAAATCTGCAAACCCAGAGATCACCATTGATCACCTTATTAACTGGAGGTACGCAAAACCTGTCACTCGACTAAACTTTTCCATTGGTCTTAACAGAGCCCTCTAGTTTGAGAGTTTTTTTCCAAAAAAGCCTTAATTTGAAGGTGTTAAACTTTTTTTGCTTATGAAGTCTCACCTCCCTGGTTTTTCTTTTGCTCTGTTATATTATTTAAAGGAAATTGTACATCTAAAACCCAATAAAAATAAAACTTAATGTAGGAAAACATCCTAGGTTAAGAGTCAGAAAACCTAGCTTTGGACCCTGGTCGTGCCAGTGGCTTGCCCGCTCCATCTCTGGCAAGAAAGTGGACATTCTAGATAAGGGATCAGCCTGCTGGCCCACTCCAGCCCACGGCCTGCTGTCATATATCAGTTGTATCAGGACGGCACCCTGCCCGTGTGTCTGTCTGTCATATATGGCAGGTTCTCTACCGCAGTGGTAGAGTCGAGTACTCGGGACAGGGACCGTAGGGCCTATGAAGCTGAAAGTACTTATTATCTGACCCTTTACCCAAAAATTGCTGACTATTGTTCTACATTATGCAGAGTTGAAGGACTGGGTTAAATGGTCTCTCGTGTTTCTGCTTCAAACTTCTATGAGTACAGCTAACCTAAATTTCTAAAGGGAATTTGATGTTAGTGTCAAAGAATGTGTTTCTCTATAGTGGATCCTACCTTAAAGACTGTTTTAGAGTCCCCATACCAAAAGCCGAGACATTTCTTTAGAACTTTTATTAATGTGATTAGAATGCCTTCTAACACTTGAGCCCCTCCCCATTGTAGCCAAAACATGCCCAGGTTAACAAAAGCTAAGGAGGTTTGTGAAAGGTGGTCGTGAGGCAGGTGCTGGGTGTGGTCTGTGGCTTTAATGTACCATTGACGGGCGCCTACGGAATGGCCTGGGCAGTCCACACAGTGAGAGTCCTGATTAGGTTTGCAGTTGAGGCTGACATCAGAAGGTGCTTTTTCTTCAAAATGCCACTAGAGGGTTCTAGTTTCCAACCACAGGAACAAATTCATATTCTTGAAATAAATTTTGAGTGATTGCAGGGATGATATGAGATACTGACATTTTCTTTCTTTCTGACTTTTGGAAGTAAGTACTTTGTAAAATCTTTTTGGGCTACCTGGTGTCTGTTGCAACTATTGGACTCTGCTGTTGTGATGCTGTGGTAGAGAATACGTGATTTTGTTTCAGTGAGACGTATGCCTTTATTTCAAGTGTGAGCTCAGCGAACTAGAACATGATATACAGAGAAAAGCATTTTTCAACCTTTGTTCTGGTTTTCAGATGCCTAATCATTTTGATCTAGACTGTCCCACAGCCCCAATTCCGTGCACATTCAGTACTTTTGGTTGCCATGAAAAGGTGAGTAAGGTGTTTCTTTATTTCTCTTTTCATGCTTGAGGATAGATAAAGTTCCGTTAGTGCAGTGGAGAATACCAGTGGGAATGGAAGGGCTGACATGCATTGTATAGTGTTAAGCTCCAACGAGAAAGGGCAGCTCAGAATATTGATTTGGGGAAGTAGGTAGTGATGAGTGGCAGGTGTAGGACTGGGATTACGTAGAGTGTGTGCGCACAAGAAGGGGAAGTGGGCAGTGGGGGGCAGTCTTCGAATCTGACGACCCAGGCAAGGAGAAGGTGCTGTTGTGGTCTCCACAGTTAGGTTCAGGGCCAGCGATCGTGTGTCAGATGTCTCAGATAGATCATTATTTATGAAAAGTCATTCTTTCTGGAGAATACATTTATACTTTTGCTTTTCTGTTATGTGTTTTATCTGACTTTTATACAATAAGCATGCATTTAATAGTTTTATAAAATAGAAGGAGCAAGGAAATATATCAAAATGTTAAGAATAATTAAGTAAGATCATTGGTAACTTATTTTCTTTTTGATCATCTATATTTTTTATAATATACATAAATTATTCTTATAATAAAATTTGTTACATCAAGGATACTTTTTTCAGCCCTGGCTGGTGTGGCTCAGTGGACAGAGCTCCAGCCTGCAAACTGAAAGTTCACCAGTTCGATTCCCAGTCAGGGCAAATGCCTGGGTAGTGAGCCAGGTCTCGAGTCGGGGGTGTGCAAGAGGCAACCAATCGATGTTTCTCTGAACAATTGTATTTCTCCCTCCCTCTCCTTCTCTCTAAAAATATAAATAAATTTTTTAAAATGCATTTATTAAAAAATAATTTTTTAATATTTTAAAATATTAAAAGAATGCTTTTCCATATAATAATTACAATGTTCTTGATGGCCTGCAAAGAGTACGGAGACAGGAAGGATAATTACATTTTGAAGGAAAGTGTTAGCGGGAGAGAATGTTTGAAGATAAGGCAGGACGGGAGTAACTGAGCAGCCCCTCGGAGGGGTCCGCGGGGTGGGGGCCGTGTCAGAGCCCAGGGAAGCATCAACCTTGGGTGAGAAGAGCGTCCTCTCTGAGTCAGAAGAGAAGGATGGGATCCTGATGCATTTGCAAGTGGGAGGGAGGTTTATCTGAATGAAAGGGGAGCATACTCAACAGATAGCCTCATTTTTTCAGCAAATTAAGAGACAAGACCATCTCTGTGGATCGAGAATCGGGTGGAGACAGGTTGTAGGGGATCGAGGGAGACGGTGACGCTACTTAAAAACCTTCCCTTTGGCTCGGCCAGGCCCCTCCCTCGGCCTCACAGTGCCTGTTCCCAGCCTAAAGCTTGTGCTTGGTTTTTAGATGCAGAGGATTCACTTGGCACGGCACCTACAAGAGAATACTCAGTCACACATGAGGATGTTGGCCCAGGCTGTCCAGAGTTTGAACCTGGCTGTGGCTCCCCGGCCTCAGCGTGACGTGCTGCTGTATGAGTCTTCCTCTCTGCCCCGGGCCTCCTCTGGGTGTCACCCGGAGGTCCAGAATTTCCAAGAAACCATTCAACAATTAGAGAGTCGCCTTGTAAGACAAGATCATCAAATCCGGGAGCTGACTGCGAAGATGGAAACTCAGAGCATATATGTAAGTGAGCTCAAACGAACTATTCGAACCCTTGAGGACAAAGTTGCCGAAATAGAAGCACAGCAGTGCAATGGGATTTACATCTGGAAGATCGGTAACTTTGGGATGCACTTGAAGTCTCAAGAAGAGGAGAAACCCGTTGTCATTCATAGCCCTGGATTCTACACGGGCAAACCTGGCTACAAACTCTGCATGCGCCTGCACCTTCAGTTACCAACGGCTCAGCGCTGCGCGAACTACATATCCCTCTTTGTCCACACGATGCAAGGAGAGTATGACAGCCACCTGCCCTGGCCCTTCCAGGGCACAATACGCCTTACAATTCTTGATCAGTCTGAAGCACCTATAAGGCAAAACCACGAGGAGATAATGGATGCCAAACCAGAGCTGCTTGCCTTCCAGAGGCCCACAATCCCCCGGAACCCGAAAGGTTTTGGCTATGTGACTTTTATGCATCTGGAAGCCCTACGACAAAGAACCTTCATTAAAGATGATACTTTACTGGTGCGCTGTGAGGTCACTACTCGTTTTGACATGGGGAGTCTCCGAAGGGAGGGCTTTCAGCCACGGAGCAGTGACGCAGGGGTATAGCCTCCACTCGTTTGTTTTTTGTTTGTTTTCTGGAGAAAGCTGTGCCTTTCCTTGCCCTGCCCTCAATGACGGTGTGTAAACAAACAAACAGTGGGAAAGATGGAAAATACCCACCAGTGAATGTGGTGAGACAGGTCGCTTGCCACTTTCTCTGTCATAAATACCTACAGCAGCTTTTCCTCGGCAGTCTACATGTTCCGTGCTTCTTCAAAATTGTTAAACCCGAAGTGCCTGTGGCGTATTGCAGCAGCTGTTTGTCAGTTAGTATACCTCTTTGTTGTCCTTTCATGGGCTTTTGCTCCAGAATGGTCTGTCAGAAGCCCTGGGTTAGAGTAGCAGAGCTCAAACCTTTTACAATAATGTTCCTTAAAGCTTCAGCTTATTTTTGTAGTATATATGTAATATATTAAACTTGACAATCACTACCGCCTCGTGCTGTTGCCAGCAAGAATTACCACTATAAAGTTGAGTTCTCATTTTATTTGACCTCACATTCAGAGGATTTGAACCTTAATCCTTGGAAAGCTTAAGTTCTCATTCACCCCATTTCCCTCCCTCCCTTCCCTGCCCTGGGGTGTTACTAAGGATACTCAGGGACTATTTAAACCCTAAATACAACTTTACTTACTCAGTGTGAACATGTTGTCTGTTGAATAATTCTTGTTCAGGTGTTTCATTCTACCTTGCTTACATGTTTCTTTGAGGCTACAAAGTAGCATCTTCAGAGTTTAGAATGCGGACAATCATGTGGATACCTCCTGCTCAGTGTCACGCTATTGTATAAACCCTTTTGTCTATTCAATGCAGAGTGAACTCCACGGCCCTGCTTATGTTCTCTGATGCCTAATACTTATAGGACAAGGAGATGCATACATATAATTACGTAAAAATTAAAGGGGCTCAACTAGCCCTCTAATTTGAGCCACAAATCGCCAGCTCCTTTGAACACCCTCTGGTTTCATTCAGTTAAGTGGGACAAATTGATCTTCTAAAAGCAAAATTTCTTAATATTTGGGAGATCAGGGTGGTACCTGAGGGTCAGCAGACTAGGGTTGGAAGTCACAGCAGTTATATCAGGACTTAGCTTGAGCAGTTGCTTTAGTTCAGCAGTTCGCACCTGAGGGGCGTCATAGAGAATGTATTGAAGTGACTAAATGTTCCTAATAGGGAGAGATGGTTTCTGTGCCATTGTACATTTGTTAAAGGCCTATAGGTATTCATTGTTCCGGTGAAATCTAGCTCTCAGGGTGCCCCGAACTAGCATGGGCTCTTCTCAAGAATCTAAGGGCTTTGGCAACCTTGCCACACTGTGGTCTGAGATTCTCCCAGGGATCTCCGTCATGGGCATGTGCTTCCTCGTCCGCGGAGCTGCTGCTCTCCGCAGGTTCGCCAACAGGGCGAGGAAACGGGCTGCCTGTTACACGCAGCAGTGGACTTGGCTGGAAAGAGATGGGCTTGTCCCTGGAGTTCATTGTTACTGTGTGTCAGAGGGTACAGAAAATACTGATTGAGGAAGCATTTTCCTGACTGACGAAAAATAACTCAGTTACACTCATCTACCCCTGCTGGGAGGCTATGCAGTGTGTTACGTAGCATGAAGTGTATTATGTAGTGGGTAATAAATTTTGTTTTTAAAAAAAGAATCTGAGAGGACCCATAGCCTGTGCTGTTTACACAAGGTTGTTTAAAGTTGTGCGGTCATGAGAGATGGCACTGTGTCTCCAGAGAAGCCAGATCGTAGCCCCCTGACCAGTGTGAAAGATCAGCCTCAGAAAACACCAAGAGCCATGTGATTTCACTCATATGCAGGATGTAGAACTGGAACTCACAGATACAACAGTGTGGTGGGTTCCAGAGGCAGCGAGGGGCTGAGGGAATAGATAAGGGGGCCAAATATATGGTGACAGAAGATGACCTGACCTTGGGTGGTGGGCATACAATGCAGTATACCCATTCTGAATCATAGAAATGTACACTTGAAAACTATATAATTTTATTAATGTCACCCCGATCAATTGAATAAAAAATTTTTAGAAAGAAAAGATCAGCCTTAATATTAAGAGGAAGCCAAGAGACTTTATGGAAAAGAATGGTTTCAGTTCTAGGCGGACCCAGCCTGGAAAGGTCACTTTGCCCTTACCCTTTACGTATCTGTCTGCCTTCCTTCCCCAGCCAACTTCAGGCTTCTGCTCTGGTGGGTTTCTTTTTGAAGTGACAATGTCCCACAGAGTCCCCAGTGTCTCTGTCACTACTACCCAGAGACTGGCTGCCAGTTTCTGCCCCGCTTTCCCACCAGCCCCCGAGAAGCACGGCACCCACAGCTCCGCCGTCTGGGAGAGTGTGTGTCAGAGAAGAATGTTTTCCAGTTCCATTTACACAGTGAGCAGTAGTTATTTTCATTGCCCAGAAGAAAGCCGGAAGGAAATAGACTATTTTTGATGACTTATTTTCTCTGTGCTTTTTTGTAGGCTTTACATTTTCTATTTTTAAAAAGTGTACTTTTATCAGAGCAAAAAATGAAGTGTTGCCACAAAACATTCAACCCCATCAAAAAAGGAAATGATATTTAAAAGCTTCCTGGTCTGGTTAAATTTCTATTAAAAGCATGGCTGTGTATTAGGTACTGAGGAGTCATTTCCTGCTTGGTTTTTGTTTTTGTTTTTCCTACTCAGGAATGGTAATCCAAACAATAACAGTTTTTTGTGTGACTTCAGGTTTCCTGTTTGTAAGATAAGCAGTTAGATTAGCTGTGTCTAAGGTCCACTCCATCCATAACACTCTGCTCCAAGAAATTGAGTTCTTACTAGCAGCATGTTGACAATACTTACAAAAGGATTTAGCCAGTAGAAAATTGCTTTATTTTTTGCTGATGTAACACTTTACTTCAACTTAGTGTCTGTCATCTGGGTCTCATCTTAATAAGCAATTTTTGTTAACCCTCAACGTTTGGCATTTTATAATAAACCAGCACTTACTCTATACTAGTCATTCATTGTCAATAGTAAGTAAAAGTCATGGCCAGACCATCATTGAAATTGGAAACATTTGTTTTGACTTCGACTCCGAATCAGGTCTTTCCTGGAAAGCTGGCCTATTTCTCCAGTCTCCTCCTGCCCAGCTCTCTGAAACCAGCTCAGTTGGCCTACAAGTATTTGGGCCATGTATTTATGCTTTATCAACCTTTTAACAACTTTTGACATTGTCTGTGGACATTGCTAACTTGAAAACAAATTGTTTCCTTCTTTCCCAGACATAGCCGACCCAAAGTTGAATGCACCTTGCCTCAAGACACCTTTTTCTATTGGAGAACAAGTCAGGATGTCGATTTTGTAGTTTGGCAGTTTCTCCTGTCCTGGCTGTAGGACAATGACAGTTTCTGGCTGTTTTGTAGCACAGCAGTTTTCAACATCGTGGCACAGGAATTTTTAATACATGCAACACCTGACTGTTTAGTCAGGGGCACTGACCTTTTTTCCCCTAGATTGTCAAATTAAAAAATGATGACAGCCATCACAATAGCCGTCCAGTGTGAATGAATCAAAATTGTATCTGTTTTTTGGTCAGATCGGCAAAAATATATATGTATGGTTTTTGGTGGCCACAGAACTTCAGTGATTAGACTGTGTGTACCCTGAGATGGGAAAGGTTGAAAATCGCTGCTGTGACATGATGCAACTTTGGTTTTGGAGACTAAAATTAGAAGAGAAAAGCAGTGAAATAGAATGAAAGGTGAGATTTTTTTTTCCCCTTAATGATGCACTAATAGGGAGATACTGGTCTCTAGCAATCAAGTTTCGTGGTAGGTATAAGGATGTAAAACTGTCCACTACTGTTTATGCCGGTAACTTTAACAACTCGAAGCATGTTTGTGAACTACGTACGCACTCAAGTAGGATGCATTCTCAGGGAGAAGTGGTTGCTCGTCATTCCTTTATCCAGAGAGTCCTCCAATCCCTGATGACCAGGCCATTTATAACTGAGATTTCCCTAACTTAGGACTTTGAAGTACTTTCCCCTTGTTCAGTTACTGCTGCTCTTGGCTTGCCTCAAATTCCACTCAGATGTTTAGTATGAACATTTGGTGACAATACCGGTTACAGCTGACCAACTCCTGATAGCCCTTCGTGTGGGTTTTAGGTCGTAAGGCGTAGATGTCTTTTGTGCTTTTCCCCCTGGTGCTTTACTGTGAAATTTCTCAAACGTGCAGAAATGTTGAAAGGATTGGACGGTGAACATCCCTCCCCTAGAGCCTGCAAATGACATCTTGTTACATTCGCCTTGTCATCTGACATGTTCCTTTTACTGCCACTTCTTGCAGCTGGGTATCTCAAGTAAAAACCTCACGGCCAAGGCGACTGAGCAGCCTCAGTGGAACTGTCTTACCCTCAGTGGAACGTTACCCTGGGGAAACGTGATAGATGTGTGTACGTGGGACTTGTAGTCCACACTTCAAGCTAGTTTCAAACTTGTAAATCTGTTATGCTGAATTTTAATCTTATTTATTTTGCCTGAAAGGATTTTTTTTTTATAATGGACTTATCTGAAAGTCATGATCAGTGGTGCACAATATTCTAATGCCCTTTTCATGCTTGATAAACTGTCCGATCTCTGTGGTGAGAATGTATTTGGGCTCCGTTGTGCTATACAGGGTTCCAGAATTATGTTCCCAGAGGAGGCTGTGTAGTTTAGCATAGAAACCATCAAATTAGAAGCTAAGATGTAGGATTTTCTCCTGGCTGAACCTGGGCAAATCAGTTCTTTTTGTCTTTGTGTCCATTTACCTGTAAAGTAGAGGCTAAAATTTGAAATTCAGATATTGCTAAGTAATGGGTAACAGTAACGTGCAGACCTGTTAGGAAAGACACTTCGTGAGTCCAGGGAGCCTCGTACAATGTTATAACTGCGACAAGCTGGGGAATGAAATCTGACTTTTGGAAAATCAAAGCATATGGCGAAAGAGTGTTATCAAAACACCCGCCGTTGCCCAGAACTGAATTATCACCACAGAGTTTGTGAGCGGTTGTCCCAGGCCATCTGGACGCTGAGAGCAGTGTGTGTCCTGAGAGGGCGTGGGGGGGGGGGGTGGGCGGAGGGGGTGCTGCGCACACAGACTGAATGGCGTGTCCCGTTTAAGAGCAGGTAGTGTGGAAGGGGTGGGGAGCTTCGAGGAATTACCCAGACTTACTGCGGCACCCCCTCCTCAGACTCCCCCCACCGACCCCACAGAAAACAAGCCCGGTGCTGCCGGCCAGCTGTGGTTTAGCCTCTGACGGTCTCCATCAGGGCCCTGCACCCAGTGAGCTGCGGGTGGACCGGGGGAAAGACAGGGTCTCCGCCCTCCGTTTTGTGGCTCTGTGACCTGCTCTTTCTAAACCCAGGTTATGAATGTAGAATCACATGGCTCTCACAGGCACATGGAGTTTTTGCTTCAGATCACATCTTAGTAGTGGTTTCAAGGTTATGACCAAAGCTGTTCCTTGAATGGCATCTTACAGAATATTAATGAAAACAAGTGCTTGACTGACATGCCTCATTCTTCCTGTTCATTGTTGATACTCTCTCCAGCCTGTATAATGCACTCATGTCGCTACCCAAAAAGTACTCTGAATCAAAATGAAATATGTATATATTGAAAATAAGTGATTTTTCCAGATATTTTTAATAAAATAAGTAAACTGCTTTGATTTTTGCTTTACCTTTTGTTCTGTTTCGGGGACTGTAACTCTGTAGTGGGAGGGAAGAACGGTTCCAGGCACTCGTTTTCACTCAAAATAAACAAAATTACTATTTAGCTCCTTCAAGAAATAGTAAGTGGAGATTCATTCTCGCCCGTGGTCTAAACTGTGGTTCCTGCCCTGGGGCCACTAAGAATCCATTTTGCCAAATAAAACGAGGCCCTGAGAGAGAAAACACCCCAACAGGTAAATAGAAAGTGTGGAACCAGGCGGACAGCGGCATGAACTTGGTCCCAAATAATAAACGAGAGCCTCAGCTCCCCAGTTCCACTTGGCTGCCTCTCCTTGGTCATCTCCCTAGGTGAGTTTTTACAGGGTGGCTGGCTACCTCTACTGCAGGGCAGTCAAAACCACTGGGAAGCTTTCTATGCGTGAACACCTGTCTCTTAAAGAGACTGTTACCCTGAATGGGGTGGAAGCGCTGGTAAGACGTCAATGCTTTACAAAACTCCACCTTAACTTTTTAAATTAAAGTTTCAAAAGTGAAATACTAGTATTAATCCCAGAATAAGCCATAACTTTTAAAAAACATTCCACCTCTATATTAGGGTAGCTTCTTGACACTTATTCATTCTTGTGAATGTTTGTTACACAGCTGACACATTTTTTTTTTGTCACATTTTTTAAACTAATCTGCACAGCCCTGGTTGTTGTGGCTCAGTGGATTGAGTGCCAGCCTGCGAACCAAAAGGTCAATGGTTCGATTCCCAGTCGGGGCACACGCCTGGGTTGTGGGCCAGGTCCCCAGTGTGAGAGAGGCAACCGATCAATGTATCTCTCCCTCTCTTTCTCCCTTCCTCTCTCCCTCTCTCAAAAAGTAAATAAGTCTTTTTTTTTTAAGTAACTTTTGTACAGGGACCAGCAGGGGCAGGATTACCGTATAAAGTAACAAGTGCAGCCTTGTCAGGAGATGATGCGTAATCACAGCTTTTGGGTTTGGTCTGACTAGGGGTTTGTACATTTTAATAGAAGCGTGAGTTAGGGAGTCTGAGCTTCACAGAATTTATGCTTCTGAAAGCTTAATAATAAAACTACACTGAAAAGTAGATCCCCGTGTCCTGAAAAAATGATCCTTCCCATCCCCCTGTATCCTGATTGACAGAAGGGGAGAGAGAAGGATGGCAAGGCATGGGAGAGGGGGTTGCTGTCTGAGGGGCTCTGGCTTAACCCCAGGTTCCTTTCCCCCGGCTGGCCACTGAACTTGAGGTGTCTAGATAAAGTAGACCAAGTCCCATTAAGGGTCCTCAAAGAAGGTAACTCATTCCCTTTAGAATAGTTGGGAACCTGAAAGTAAAATGTACTCCAAAACGTAACGTTATAGTCCTTTGGAGACATTGTTTTAGAGGAAAAGGAAGAAAAGGTTTTCTGAATACAACTAGACTAAGAGCTGAATTTGGATCTTTTTAAATGCCTTTAGGATCAGTGTTTTGCCTTTTTTTTTTTTTTGCCCACTACCTACAGTAATTAGATAATAGATTAGATAGATAGATAGATAGATAGATAGATAGATAGATAGATAGATAGATAGATAGATAGATAGAGATAGATAGATAGATAGGAATAAGTAATATGTACACCAGTTCAAGGGCAGCAACAGGTTTATGAAACCCTTGCTTCCACCACACATCTGACACGCTCTGATGCTCCCTGGCCCTGTGGCTCCTGCCTCTCTGGAAGCAGTGACATTGGTGTTTTACTGAAGGGAGAGCCCCCTCTCCTGTTTCTCCCACGTGTGGGTCTTTTCCCCTCAATTGTTCCAGCTTCAGGATAACAAAATTTAGAAAGATTTACAAACACCTTCACTTTTTGTTTGACTGTTATGTGTTTTGCGGGCGTGAAGCTATGACAAGGTAGTGTGCTCCCTGTTTGAATGGACGGTGGGCTGGGCTGAGCTGGGCTGGGCTGGGCTGGGCTGGGCTGGGGTGGAGAGAAGAGCAGCGGATTTCTTCAAATCTCAGAGAGTTACTGGCAACCTTGAGTGTCTCCTTAACTAGACTGTGAGCTTTCAAGGAAAGGGCCCACTTGTTCATATCCCAGATGGCAATCACAGATACCTAATATGATCCTGGCCTTTGCTGCAGAGTAATTTAAAAAAAAAGTCAAATTATGGTTTTTAGATAAATATCAAATGAGGAAGTATTAAAGATTTTATTAACTCTGCCATGGCTGGTGTGGATTGAGCACTGGCCTGTGGGCTGAAAGGTCCCTGGTTCAGTTCCCTATCAGGGCACATACCTGGGTTGCCGGCCAGGTCCCCAACTGGGGACATGTTAAGAGGCAACCAATGTGTCTCTCACATATTGATGTTTCTCTCCTTCTCTTTCTCCCTCCCTTCCTGTGTCTCTAAAATAAATAAATGTGTCTCTCACATATTGATGTTTCTCTCCTTCTCTTTCTCCCTCCCTTCCTTTGTCTCTAAAACAAATAAATTTTTAAAATTCCGGGATATCAAGCTTCTATAAATTAAAAACGAAAGATTTTATTCACCCTTACCAAAGGAACCAGGCAGATACCATAACCCATTCAAAGAGAACCCAAAGCAGACATGCCCACCAGGAATATTTAAATACATGTCCAAATGGAGGCAGGACTTAGCTTCTTTCTTGTTAGGGGAGCGAAATCAAGGTGTGTAGAAACAAGAATGATTTTGCTTCGCTCTCAGTTACCTGCAGGACAGAGCTGTGAAGGAGCTTCCTCAGGATCGGAATCCGATACCCTCCAAGGGCGTGCTCTAGACTAGACCAAGCCAAGCATTCCGTCAAAGCACAATGTTTCCCTGCGCCCCGTACTACCAGTAGTTCAATATAATGCGTGAATGATAAAATGGCACGTCTGTGGTGCCCATTCCTGCCTAGAACGAGGCCACTCTGTCAGTGCATGTGAGAGGACAGCCCGTTCTAGCTCCTGCAGAACTCTAAACGAAGACAGGTGTGAAGAGGGCCAACCCAGTCTGAGAACCATGTGGCAGTAGGGGGCAGCAAAGCTCCATCCCCAGAGGATGCAGCCCTCAGAAAAAATGTGAAGAACAGGGTTAACTGGAGTCCTTGGCCTTTTGAATCCATAAAACTTCCTGAGCTTGTGTGCGAAAAGTTGTCATTTCAGCATTTTTCTGGGAAGAGCATCTTGGGTTTGTTTGTTTGATTGTTTGTTTGTTTGTTTGTTTCTGCTTTAAATCTGATAAAAGCCCTAAGACACTTTCCGCAGACACTGGAAGTTCCATGTCCCCATTGTCAGTCACAAGTTGATTTGCCAAATTAGCTTCAAATTGGAAACACCTGAGGAATTATAAGGTCAACCCATACAAAACTGCCATTTTTGTAACATCAGAAAGAGTTGAATATCAGCAATTTCAACCTATATATACAGATTCCTGGGTGCCCCTTTCCCCATCCCAGTTCTTTTACAGCCAATCGGTGGGTGAATATATGAGATCAACTGCTTTTGCTAAAATGAAGTTTAGGGAAATGGACTGTTGGACTGTAGTCCATCCCAAGGCATTAAGGTTTAACCCACTTCGCCTCTGACCAGTGAGAACCAAGTCGGCATCAGGACTGGCACCCCCAGGCAGTTCACTGCAGGGCTTTCCCGAGGTGTCTGGTCTGAGGACCACAGCCTCAGCATCTCCTGGGCTGCCTACTGAAACGCATGTCATTAGGCCTCATGCCGAGCTCAGGACTTTCGACTTCCTGAGGGGTAGGTTGGGGGGTCTGAATCCTAAATGGACACCCCAGGTGACTCTTCTGCAAAAGAGAGTAAGTCGTCACAGGACTGAAGCTGTCCTACTGCAGCCCTATCATGAGACGGCAGGACTCTGGAAAAGACAGTAATGCAGGGGAAAGAGGAGGCAGCAGGAAAAGAGGAAGGCCAACCAGGAAAGGGACAGACTCTATAAAAGAAGCCACGGGCATGAGTCTGCAGGGGCCGAGCTGGACTGTGGAGGACAGGACACTGGACATCACTCACAGTCACCGAGAGTTAGGGTGACCCAACAGTAGGTAACACACACGGTCACAGAAGAAGGGGTGAGGAAGTACTGTCTGAGGTCTGTCAACTAAGTCTGATTGTTAAAATGGTAAAATCATAGCGTTCATTCAAATACAGAACAGACATGTGTCACGGGTTTTATTCAGCTCATTAATTTATGATGGAACCATTAGATGGTAAAGCTGATTCCAAGAGCATTTAAGGAAAAAGAGTTTATGTGATTCACCAGGATTTTCAAAACAAGAAAGAATGTTAGGACAAGATTGCTAGGTTACAGAAGAAACTGGTCGATGTCCTGTAGGCTAATAAAATTACCACCTGTGGGGTAATCCTTCCTACCAGATAGAAAAATACAAATTAATGTGTAACTTCACAGTATCTGGGCTATAATCAAATAATAAGTAGCAAGACAAAACACAGGTACATTCTCCTGGGAAATTAAATAATCCTTCAATATGCGGCTTAACTTTCTGCCTTATTTCCAAATTCTAAATAACTTTTGCAGTGAGTGAAAGCTGAACACAGAATATGTTTATTATACCTCTGCGTGAGAACATTCAGGCTAGAGCAGATATAGTCAAATCCAAGAACCAGTTAATTCAGAGGGAGGAGAAAACTGACTGAAATTCAGGATTCATGTGTAGCCTCCTTGGATTTATTTTAGACACTAGCTACAATCAATTCTCCCTGCCTTTAAAATAAGTGATCTGCCATCTTTGTAAGTATCTGGCTCACAAACTAGTCAATCCCTAACAATCTCCCTTTGAAGTTTATCTGAAAGTTTGCTAAGATTTTCAACTTTGTTCCTTTGTTTCTCATCTAAAAATTCAGGCATTTTAGTTGTTTAAACATCAGCAATATCCTCTGATTTTGATGAAACAATTGTCCACGTGGGGGAATTAAGCTTTGACCATCAAGAAACATATTTAAATAGAAAAACCAATTTCAATATTTTTTCTCATTTTTAAAGAGG